AAGGCGGGCCAGGGTGCGTCCACCGACCTGATCAGCGTGCTGCCCGCCTGCCAACCCGACGCACCTGTGCCCTGCCCGCCCGTCAACACACCCGACACAGGCAAGATTTCTGCTCTCTTTCATCATCACCATCATCATCATCATCATCATCATCATCATCAGCATCAGCATCATCATCACCATCATCACCATCATCAGCAGCATCATCATCATCATCATCATCATCATCATCACCATCATCATCATCACAATCATCAGCATCGTCATCACCATCATCATCATCATCACCATCATTATCATTACCTTTCTCACCCTGCACCAGGGTATAGGCCACGGGCAAACACTTTGTGGGTGGTTGGCAGGTGCCCTGGTGTGGTTTGTTCCTTCTTTCCCATCAAACGTCTATTTCGTCCTGATCTCTCCTGCTCCTTTTTTGTATGTATGTTACTCTCTTGTAACACCTCTGATCTTCGGCACTTGTTGTATATAACCTTATTGTGTTGCAAGTGCCGTAAAACTCTTACTAAAATGAACAAAACGTCCTCTTCTCCGCACACACCTGTGCACATAGCCGTAGTAATACAATAGTCAGTAGTATGCTTCGCACTCACAAACAGGCTCCCAGTCACAATCTTAATAATAGAAATGGATAGTAATTATAAACATTAAAAGTGTTAAGTTAATCTAGATTCCTCCTCAGTATTGTAGCTCAATGGTATTCTGATGTCATTGCTATCATCTGAAAGTTGTGTCCTTATGCCTTGCTTTTGACTATATTTTTCAAAAAGGCTCATGTTGAATGGAAGTCGAGATATTTGTGATTGAAGAAGGTGGGGGTCACCAGGTGTCAGATAAAATTAGCAAGAAAATGGCTGCTGAAGTTTGGTGTCTTCCTAAGCTTGAGTGTCCTTGGACGTTGCACATTTACATAAGTTTGTGTCTTTGATCAATGGTTTCCCTCATGTTGATATAGTGTTTGATCTCTCTCTCTCTCTCTCTCTCTC